CCCCAAAACCCCAAAACCCCAAAACCCCACTTGACCTAGAAGTCAAACTTTTAAAATGAGTATAGACAAATTACTATGTTAAATTTATTATTGAATGAAATAATAATGCTTGGAAATATGAAATTAGTTTAATCAAAGTGATGAGCCACACACTTCACAGAAACTGAGAAGAGTAAGATTATGGAAAGTGCAAGTGGGGCACTCCTTGTAGTCAGCAGCGCCAGTACCTCCCATCTCTGCATCCATAATTTCGTCATAGCCTACTCCAACATTGGAATCGATCATAATGGGACCAGAAACATTGCTATTAGTCTAAATAATAGGAGCTATTCCAACTCTAGCATGATTGACTGCATTTGCTCCGCCATCACTGTTCTTGGGCTGAACAACTTGAATGTAATATTGGTAGTTACCCCAATCTTCAAATGGTCTCAGCTTAGTGAAAACAGCGATATCTCTCTCCTTACTTCCCATTAGCAAAGCAGGGATAGGACTAGCAGGTATTCTGAAGTTAATGGGTGGGTCATTCACCTGTGAAGAATTCATTAGTGTCAAAGTCACTGTTTACGGCTTTGATTTATCAAGATTAGTTACAGAAAAAACTAGAACGCACGAAACTGCTGCTTCCCAGGCATCAGTTGCAAGTTAATTTTCATTCTAATTTTAATTAACATGGAATTCGGTATTTTCTTCTTGTATTTGCTATTGATCTTAGTTGTTTTCAGTTACATATGGTTCACTATCTTATTTGAGAGTAGAATATTAATTTTCATCTTTGAAAGTAGTCATTCCTGGGACTACACCCTTGTTTTGCTTTTCATAATCCTAATCTATTTGGTTATTTCCATCCTAATAAATTCTATTCTCTTCTTAGGGATCATAAACTTAGTTTGTGGGATCTTAGAAATTATCCTAAGGAGCAATTTAAGTAGTTCCATAATTGTAGTACTCTCTAGCTCCTTGAGAATTCTCATTTTCGGGATAGTAATCATCGCCATGGTTATCATCTTAGTATTCTACATCCATTGAATCATCTTGATTTTGATTTTCCTCTCCATCATCAATTATGACTGTGTCAGCATCTTATTAATTACCTCCTTGGAAGTTTTGCTAAAACTCTAGAGGCTAGCCCTTATCTTTATTGTGATTTCTCTTTTTCTTTTAGCCAGCACCTCTCTTCAAGGGATTTCTCTTTTAAGCAAGCATAACAGTGTGACTTCCTTTTTGCTAAACATCATAATTTCCAGCGCCTCTGCCGTATTTTCTTCTTCTAGGCTAGTTATTAATACCTACATTTGATTGATTATCATTATTTCTACCTCTACCTAGCTGTTAGAATTGATCCGGGGTAAAAACTTTGTTTGTTAATCCATCTGGCTTAGACTCTGTAATTCTTACGGTGTATTCCTTTACTGTAATCTATATATTTTCATCAAACATAATATGGTCTTTAATGATTTTTTCTTCAATAACATCCCAAATTATATACTATTCTGGACCACCATCAGTTGAGTCATAACTTATGATGCTTGGCTTATTCAAACTAGTGTTGATAATTGTATCTTATTAGTTGGAGGATTAAATAGATTCCATCTATTCTTGAGGTTTATCCTATTGGAGAGATTCAATTTGGACATCTACTTGAACTTATTCTGAAGTAGGTTAAGGAATTTATTTCTAAGGGTAAAACAATGCATCCAAAATAGCTTTTAATTAAACAACCATTATATACTCCTGTTAAGATGTGGTAGTAGGGAATTTCTTCATATTTTCAAACTAATCTTCTATAAATGGACCTATCCAGTCTATATATCTTGCATTGCAATAGTTTGATGGCTCAAGTGTTTTTATGTAATGCAACAGATATCCAGTAGGGTCCTGTTGGCAACCTTAAAGGAGTGACATTAGCAATTAGAAAGTATACTTTGACCAGGATCTTCTGAATTAATAAACAAGTTGAAGGAAACTCTATCTGGTATTTGTTGATTGCTTAAACAATGTGGATCTATATTCATAGACATCATCAGAGGCTGAATCCAAAATCTGCACTCCTAACTTGGTATTGATTATGCTCACGTCTTGGTTATATATCATTGTCTTATCAACCTTAAGCTATGGGATACCTAGGATCCATTCTAGTCTAAATTGCTTGTAGGGATCATTAAGAAGCAAAAGAGATTGAACAACGTAAAGATAAGGTTCCACTTCATCAGCAGATGCTTTATTTAGTCCAATGACTAGTCTCTTAGCAACTTTCCTAGAAAATTGCAAATTGAAGAAAGACATCTATGCAATCAATCTTCCGAATTCAACTCTCTAATATCCAGCCTTCATATTCTTTGACCAGAATGCTTTTTGATTGAGCATGAATATATCCTCATCTGACAATGGAGGTAGCTCTTCAGGGAACATAGCCATATATAGCATACTTTAGCCATTAAAGCTCTCTTAGTTGTCTGATTCTAGAATAACTCTCTTATAGTTCCTCAATATTATGCTTATGATGAGGATCAAATTATCTAGTGGAGGCTAAGCATAGTTTGATCCCATAACCTATCTCTTTTTATTTCCAACCAAAGGACTATCATTCTCCATATAAAAATCGATGAGTTTGCTGATTAACTTATGTTCAACCATATAACTCATTTGTGCATGTCCACTTTTAGTTACATCGAAGAGGAACTATAATAAATTTTACACAAATAAATAGTTATACCTGTAGTATCTGATGTAGCTTTAGCCAATTTTTATAGAAATCCTCTGGGATCATTGCAAATATTTGATTCATAATGCTATCTACCACATCGATTCTATTGATAGCGAATAGTCTGTTGACAACTGAAGTTAGAATTAATTGGTTCATTTCTCTCATATCTTTATCCATATTAGTCAATAAACTTTCTAAAAAGGACTTTTGATCCTTGCCAAGTTTAGACTTATCAAGTAAAATCTATTCATCAACAATTTTTAGAAGCTAAGCATCATTTAGATCTATCATTCTTAATAGCAATTTCGTCATTTCCAAAAGCTATTTGTTTTCAGTTGTCATTGATAAGAGATCAAAGATAAGCCTTCTTAGGAAATCAAATAATAATTGATTTTAGTTGCTCTCGCTATCTTACAGTACTTCGGGAGCGTTTTATATTAATGTATCTACAAGAATCTTAGTTGTCTCAAAGAAATTGTTATTGAAGATCGACTTTTCTGTTAAGAATAGATAGTTGTCACGTTGAACCATCTAAAACAACATAGCGATTTAATAAAAAATTAATGTATTTTTACCTTGTAGATTTCATTTGGCACGAATTTTTTGGCAGAATTAAATTCAACCAAGGAGTAATGTTCTTTGCTACTTTCATCATAAAATAGGACTTAGTTGATGTTGTTGTTCAGGAGGTTCTCCTATAGTTAGGGAACGACGTAAAACAAATGATGTTAGGAAAGATCTCTAGATATTGCGGTACCATCGCAATCTAGAGAAGAAGATGATTGCGACTATTAGACTATTTACTCAGGGATCACGATCTTGATCTTTTCTTTTCTACGCTTCTCATAGATCAGCATGTAAGCATTCCTTGAATAGTCGTTTTTCATGTCTGAGTTCTAGAAATTACCTGAGTTAGATGATGATCCTCCACCGTAACAGTCCTCTTCTAAATTTGCGAATCTATAAAAGTTGCTAAGATTCAAAAATGTTTTACCTATAGTCCTTAACAGTAGAATCATTAAATTCAAGCCAGTTTTCTTTTTCAGTAAGCAGCCATTCTGGAGTCTCCTCATTTTTCACTCCCCTGGTAATATTGATATATGAAATATAATGACCTGCATCTGCTGTACCCATGTGAACTACAACACCTACTAATTTGTACTGGTAATCTTCTTCAGGAGCATCAATCTCCATTATATCTGGTTGATCATTCTCATCATCACTAGATGCATCCTTCTCATTCTTTGTAGGAGAGTTTCCTATGATTTCCATTTTATCTAACTAAATCTCATCGCTTCCCTCTTCAATCTTGCCTTCTTCAATTTTAACTTACTCCTCTTTTTTCTTATTTTACCCAATCTCTTTTTCAATTTCCTTCTCCTTTTTCTTTTTATCCTTTCTCGCCTGTTTTAAAAGTTCTTTTTCTTGTTTCATTACTTCTGATAGCATGTAAGGCTTAAGATTTAACACGTTAGGGAATTCGACTCTTGAATTTAGTTTAGCATTTTAGAATGTATCATAGTCAAATACAATTCTCTATAAATGCACAATAAGCATATTTGGCAGCTTTTCAATTACAGTTTTTCTTTCCACGTCAACTTTTTAATTGCAAGCTTCGCATAAGAAATCATTGATAATTTCTCCAGTAATGAATTTCTTGAGTCCATCATAGATACTCTTTTGGTTTTTGACTTCTAGGGAGAGATTGTAGAAATTCTCCTTCATCTGTCTAAGATTTCCACAATTCTTACAAATCATCAATGAGCAAGTCTATCCTCCAAAAATATTTTGAAGTAAATATTTCTAGCTTGTGTTTGCTAAAAGCCTCTCAAGTCTATCGAAAGCTAGATTAAGGAATTCTTGTGAGTCTTGCTGAATTCTCACATTTGTTGGCTATCCTGCAAAATCTTTAAATGAAAAACAGAATTCTCTGGGGTTGTAATCTTATCTTTCTGATAATTCAAGGAATCCCATGAATTTCATGAGTTAATGGAGCATGTTATCGTCAACCTTTTCATTTTCAAATTCTTGGAGATTGATTGGCTGATTATCTTATGTGGCTAATAAACAGTATCTAAAAGTTGGAATGTGGTAGAACTGTTATATCATAGCGTTCATGTAGCAAATACATCCTAGGTTTCTAATTCCACAGAATCCATGGAAGCTTCTTGTTTCTGATCTTGGGGCAAACCCTGACTTTTTAGGTTTCTAGATTATGTAAAGTAGTGGGTGAAGATACTTCGAGATCAATCCTCCAATAATTTTAGGCTGTAACCTGCACATAGTTTGAATTAGATTGTAGCAAGCTATTCTTGAATCAGTCGTGAGACACTTATTAATAAATGGTTTCTCAAATGCTGGTATATCAACTTCCTTGGTGATATGCTTTTCAAGTGGTTCAAGTTTGAATGTAAATAGACACTTTTCTATTAAATACTCTGATATGCCAATATATTCAGTCTGTTCTAAGCAATCTGGATTGTTCTTAACTAGAGTATTTAACATGTTAAGAAAACCGACCAGATTAGTATCCTCCAGATAAGTATTCTTTTTCTCTTTTGATTCATACGTGTTTAGTTTAACTACGAATTCTTATGCCAGTTCTCTTGCATTAATTATTTGCTTAAAGTCTGGTCTCTATTTAGCTTCAGCGTCGTAGTAGACTTCAAATAAATCTCTAAGCACCATAAAGAATTATTTGCTTTCTCTTGACTTGTATTCAACTAACTGAACATTTTAAATCATTATTCTCAAGAAAAAGATATATGGAGCTTCACTAAGGTTTGGAGTATTGACCTTAGTATAAAGGAATTTGAAGCCCTCTTTTATACAATCTCTAACTGAGAAGTTATTACAGAGAAGACCCTTCTCAATAATGGTTCCAACTATGCTGGACTTATTATTTTTATCAAAGTCGTCATAGATCTGTTATAATAATTCAGGGTTGTAAAGAATAACCGAGATCCAAAGTTAAAGTGCTGATTCTACATTCGATTTATCATCGTTTACTATTTTATCTTTGCAAACTATGGCTTTGACTATCATTAAAATCTGTTATTAAAACTCAGAAAAGTTCATTGAGTCCAAAATCCTTTGTCCAAGCTCACCTCTTAGTATGTTTATTAAAGGTTCAAATTATTTTCCGATATTATCTTGATCAGCTTAAATGGTATCTCTCTTGAGCAGTTATGGGCCAGCACTACTAGTACCGTTGGCCGTATTATTGGTCTATGAGAGAAATGGAATTTGTGTAGCAGAAATTGTAGTGGGTTCTAACTTTTCAAGAATTTCCATTATATCAATATCTACATCCTCCTCAATCTTAGCTGGCTAAGATAAATTCTTCTGCAGATCTAGAGTTATTTCTGATGATTATGCACTTCCCATGAATGTTGAAAGTATAAGAAGCTTCATTGTTTTCAGCACTTAATTTAAGCATTCTCTATCTTATGGATTTTACAAGATACCATTTGGAACATTACTTTCCATCAAATTCTTTAAGAATATGCAAAGTACTGAGAATCCATTGTTCAGCACAAAACTCTAGATCCAATTTTATCTCATTTCAATTACTTCCTCAACGTTCGAAATTTCCAGAATTTGAGCGATTTCCTCATCTGAAATTATTTTATCTTCATATGGCTCTGTTATTATATGCCCTTTGAAATTTTCAAGCATTTCCTTATTCTTAGTTAAAGTGTTATTAAGATTTTAGCCAGCATTACTTGGAGCAATGGGCCCAATGAAGATACCTTGCGACGGTGGAATGGGAACATTACTTTGATCTTGAGGAGGCAAAGGAATAGCAATCCCAGATTAGGGAGCTGCATTTTGAACATCTCTCTTCTGCTCATTCAGGTTGTCGCTCTGGACATTTTAACTATTTTGATTGCTGTTATTATTCTAGGCGTCTAATAGAGGGAATTAACTATTGTATTCTTAATTCTCAACAAAGTAGCATTTAATATTCTGACTCTCTTGGATTGAGTACTAATCAATAAATTACTCAAGAATCTAGAGATTATAGAGAAGTTTATAGGCTGATGTATCTTCAACTAGTTCACTGATACTACTTAAAGAAAGTAACTTTGCATAAATTAAAGGATTGGTCCTTAAGTTTCCAATAAGAATCCAAAGCTCACTTTAAGACCCGCTTCCGCATTTATCCATCAAGTTAAATATTTCGTTGAAGATATCCTGATCTTTAGAGAGTTTGAATCTTGGCAATGCTTATGGATCTCTAATTTCATTTGGATCCTCTGTTTAATTCTAGCTTGATTGTGGTTTAAGATCATTACCTATACCATGAGTTTGTAGATTACTCCAAACAAGATCAGGCTTTTATATTGATCTATCTTTATAAAACTCCAAAAACTCTTCTTCAGTTAGCTTTCCATCAATATCTTTATCATATTCATTAAATAATCTCACTACTCTTGGGTCAGTCATCAGTACAGATGGATCATTAGTTGAGTTTCTAATAAATTCAACACATGTATCTGGAGTCATAAATCCATCTGCAGTTGAGAATTTTTTAAACCAGGAAGCAAAGATTTCTCTTGCCAAAGGTACTAGCTCCTTTTTCTTATTGATCAAAGTGGTTTTAGCTTGGTATGTAATAGGCTTTTTAGCTGCATGCAGTATTTCATATGGCTCAAATCTTAAATCTCTTAGTAATGTTTGATGATCTTAATCTGTTGGAGCTCTTTTCTTAGCATCGATTCTGTTCAACTAGATTCTAAGTGGGCTTTACTTTAATTTCTCAGCTATAAGTTTCTTTAATTGCCAAACCGTCATATTAGAATTCACATTCACCTCGATGTATCTTGGTGTAGCCTTCATATTTGTGATGTTATTCTGTATTATGAGTTTCTCAGTTAATTTCCCTCTGCTTAATCCTGAATGAGGTCTCATATTGCCAGTTCCATTTCTTTCAGAGTCATTAAAGAAGGATTTCATCATTACAGTGATAATTTTGATGATTTACTTTTTATCATCCTCTATGACTTCTGGATTAACTATTATGTCATGCAATTTTTAGAGGCATTCTCTACAGAACTAATCTTCAATTTCATGTTTCTTTTCTTCAAGCCCAGAAGATAGATTATGGTAAACTTTTGTAATGAGATCTATCACTGCAGCAGTTAAATCACTATTTTTCTTGTCACATTAAGCCAAAAGTTTCCATAGTAGATCAATTCCAATGAGGTCTTTTGGAGGAACATGCACCTTAAAATCTAATTTGGTCTAAATAGCAGCACTACTGTTGTAGGTAGGTAATGAAATTAGATGAATTCTATCATCTTACTCGTTTATCTTTAAAAAGATCTGAAGAATGCAATCGAATCCTGCCTTTTTTATGTACTTAAAGCTAACATCTGCTCCGCACATTTTTGTTTGGAAGAAATTTAGTATCAACTCTGGAGAAAGTTTGCTTTGATCGCTAAGTAATTGCTTAAACCAGTTGAAGAATATGTCAGAATCAATTGAAATTTTTGATCTCACTAGCATTAAATCCCAGATTTAATCAAGTTGCATTTGATCAAGTTATGTGTTGCTGTTTTGGAGCATCTATCTAACAAAATTTAATCTGGTGAATGACTGAGCTCTGTGACTAAATGGAATATCCAATATATCAATAGTGTCAATATTTCCTTCATTGAGTATATTTTTGCTCCATAGATCGTTAACAATATCATTGTAGTAAATGAAGTCATAGATAACTAAGTTTATAATGTCTTCTTGTTTAATTAGTTGATTCGCCATATCAAATAATGTAGGCAAATTGTTTACTCTGTAATTAGGTATTTGATCAAGAATCTTTTGAACAATTTTGATTGATTAAACAGTTGATTGGTGATTCTTAATTTTGGCAATACACTTAGCAATGAACTCTCCTTTTTGTTCCCTGTCCCAGTTTCTAATAAGGTCAATAAACTTTTCCATAGCAATCTCAATGATTTGCTTCTTATAGGGCCTCTCTTAGACAGCAATATCCCAAAATAGCTTCGCTGCTCTCACTGAGAATGTTTACTGCTTATAAGAGTACTTAGCTAATTCATAGACGCACTCAATCTCTTTTTCTACGAATTGATCAGGTGGAACTTCAGAGAATCTTTGCACCAGCATTTCTACTTCATCCTATTTGAACATTATTGCTACTTCCTGGATAATCTTATATATTTCCATCTTAGTCTACTGATCTCTTTTGGTTGCCTACCAGATTTGATCGATTTCAACTTCAGTTATCTCTTTTTCATTTATGTAGAACTTTATGATCTCCTGCGACCTCTGGATGAGTTGGATATGGTAGTTCTCTCCAAAAATTTGCTCAAACACGTTGTCAGTCTTGAGTTTCTTCATCACATCCTTTGAACTAATCATCTTTCTTGCTGCAAACTTTGTGTTCTTAATTTGATCAATAATCTCCTTGATTCCTAGGATTCTTTGTTCAAGCTTTTCTGATCTCAATAGTTAGAAACCAATATTGAAGTTGAACTCAGCCATCAGTTGAGCGTACTTTTCTTGGGTATAGTATCTTCTTATCACTCCTTAGAGGGCTTTTTGGACTCCTAGAAGTGATTCCTTTGTAAACTTCTGTTAGAGTGCACCACCGTTCTTGTTATCTCTGTGCAAAACAGCGTATTCTGCTGCTTCTCTTAGTAGAGGAATGAATTTGCACATGAATTATCTATGCCACAAGGTCTAAGTCTTTGAAAGGAAATCTAGTATCAACTGAATATGCTTAAGCGAGATTGTCTAAATAAAAATTAAAGCAAACAATTTTACTCTTTCTATGTTTTAGCTCATTAAGAACTCCAAAATCTTATCGTATCCTCCTTTTGCACCAAACTCATTTAAGTAGTCAGGAATTGAGCTCAAATTTGAAAAGAAGTTGTTTCTGAAAACTGCCCACACTTTGATATCTTTGCAGTTGTAAATGACATCTGAGATATCATCAATTACAGTATCATATATCATTTGAGCTTTAGAGACATTAGTGTATTGCTTTACCAAAGTGTTAAGCCTTTGAATGGTAGGAGATGTAACTGATATCCATTCATCGTATCTATTGCTCCAACCAACAAATTTTCTCCCGTCATCATCCCATTTGTGTCCTTCGTCCTCGTCATAGTACCTATAGCCCACATAGATCTCATTGATATATCTGTTAACCACATTAGGGTCTCCTGGGGCAGGACCAATACTAAATCTTCGAGTATCCAAGCATGTAGACTTATACCAAATAGTTTCACCATCTAAACCGTCAAAAAGGTCTCCTTTTTGAATAGCGAATCTCCATTCCATATCATCAGTAAAAGTATCAGGTTCAGCAATCTCAGGACCATATCTGCTCACCAGTGAATTGTTTAATGGCATATCATTCAAGAAGGATACATATAGTTTATCATCTTCTAAAACTTAGATCACTGAGGCTTTTTGCCATTAGGATATTCTATGATTGGTGATTTATTTCCTATATATCACATCTAGTCTGTCTCCTTCTTTGAGCTAGGATCTCCACTGATACTCCCTCTTTATTCTTCTTTGATCTACACTGAGGTCATCATCATCGATGCTCAGTATATGAGGCTGCTCCGACTAAACATGAAACATTATAATAAGAGTTGAAATACTTGGTTAATCTGCCTCTTTTTAGATGATTGTAGAGCCAAAGTATATAATGGTGCCTCAAGATTGAACAAAGAGTGCACTATTTCAGCCAAAATTTCTGCTCCTACATCCCTAGGGAAGAAGTTGACAAGTATATTTCTGAAGAACTTCAGGATAAGGGCAAGGTACTATAAAAATTAGTTTTTAGATATTGCTCTCAAAAGAAATATTTAATGGATATAGTTAATAAATTGAGGCTTGTCAAGATTCTGATGACTCCTGGAAATGCGAAATTCGATCGATTGATCATAAATGATAGGAATTTGAGACTTACTTCAGGATTCTAAATAGATTTAGTGCTTAGGAATTTGTCTGCTGATTGCTTGAACACAACTTTATAAAACTCACTTCTGCGGGAGACTGAGTCAGACTCCTCGTTGAATAATTCGTTCCATATTTGTTCATATCTTTTGCTGAGCATTTTATTGATTTAGTCTAAAATATCAGCAGGTTCTTCCTTCTTGTCAATAGCCGTCTAAATAAGTAGAGATTGCTGTTTTAGAGTCTCTACTAACGAAGCCTCAATGGCCTCCATTTCAACCTCAGGTTGATCAGGATGAATAGTAGTATCTATCATTGCAAGATCTTCCTGTTTAGTCTCATCAATTTACTTGGTATCATCTTACGCTTAATCTGAAATGTTAATATGAGTTTACATTTTTATTTATAATTATAAATCTATATCTAACTTCTTTATATATTCGAAGGATATGCATATCCCGGGGTTTTGGGGTTTTGGGGTTTTGGGG